TCCGAGTTCTTACTGGTGTGAAGGTGATTTAGGCCGAGTTCAGTTGTAGCAGCTATAAGAACTGGAATGTACATCCCCTTCGCGGTCTCTACGTATCACGTCATAGTAAAGTTCAGATGGGAATATTTTGGATGTACATATCATATAACTCAGCTAAGTCTCAGTTCCAAGGATTACATCGGGCTTAAATTTGTTAATTCGATCTTGACTTGGAGATTATTGCCACCTATTTCCACTAGCAATTAATGATAATGTTTTGAAAGGTCATTTTTGTTACAGTAATACATCCCAACTTAGATTAATCTTTTTTTTTTTTTTTACATTTAGGAACACAAAAAAAGTTTATGAAAAAAATTGATTTATTTCCTTCATAGAAGAATCGCTTAAGTATCAATCAAATAAGAAAAAGCACTTTCACACATGTATCTGGATTTCGTAAGTGTTTGAAGGGATGGACCAGAGGGTTTTATTCGATTTTCATAAGCACACAATATCAAACTGCAAGAAATCAGAAGATTGATTACAAGATTTTACCAAAATCAACAGTTTAAAAACGTATGAGTTTAAACTTAATACACAGCCATTCCCCACGATAAATTAAAGTCCTTTTTGATATCATTGACAGCTGCTTTTCACTAAAAATGGAACTCGTAAATTTACTTACCTTGTCATTGGTCATTTGCAAAATTATTTTGATAACCAGAAGTCTCTGTCGAGACTGAAGCTCTACTGGTTTGTACTTATAATAAAGAAAGAGAAAAGTAGCAGTTGGGATATAAAACTTTACAAAAGCAATAAATAGAATAATGACAAATACCGATACACAGAATTATATATCTTAGTGTAGTCTACTTGTGTGCCAAGTTATACTGAAATCAGACCAAAACTGTAGGAGGAGTAGCATTTTGAATGATTTTCACAAAATATTTCTGTTTTAAGTAACAACAGCAACACCGTTCATTGAAACAAAAACCTATCTACAGAATTATGTATCTTAGTGTAGTCTACTTGTGTGCCAAGTTATATTGAAATCAGACCAAAACTGTACGAGGAATAGCATTTTGAATGTTTTTCACAGAAATTTCTACTTTTAGTAACAACGGCAACACCGTTCTTTGAAATCAAAAACCAATACACAAAATTATGTATCTTAGAGTAGTCTACTTGTGTGCCAAGTTATATTGAAATCAGACCAAAACTGTAGGAAGAGTAGCATTTTGAATGATTTTCATAAAAAATCTATTTTTAGTAACAACGGCAACACCGTTCATCGAAATCAAAAAGCTATATACAGAATTATGTATCTTTGTGTAGTCTACTTGTATGCCAAGTTGTATTGAAATCAGATGAAAACTGTAGGAGGAGTAGCATTTTGAATGATTTTCACAAATTTTTCTGTTTTTAGATACAACGGCAACACCGTTCATCGAAATCAAAAAGCGATATATAGAATTATGTATCTTAGTGTAGTCTACTTGTGTGCCAAGTTATATTGAAATCTGACCAAAAGTGTAGGAGGAGTAGCATTTTGAATGATTTTCACAAAAAATTCTATTTTTAGTAACAACGGCAACACCGTTCATCGAAATCAAAAAGCGATACACAGAATTATGTATCTTAGTGTAGTCTACTTGTGTGCCAAGTTATATTGAAATCAGACCAAAACTGTAGGAGGAGTAGCATTTTGAAAAATTGTTTACAGACGGACAGACAGACGGACGGACGACGGACGCATTACTATCGCATAAGCTCTTCTGGTCTCTGACCAGTAGAGCTAAAAAAACATTCTGATTGTACACACAAGTACTCGGAAGTTGACATCGAAAAGATGCTTGAGTTTCTGATTGACAATATTTATGTGGTTTTTTTTGGAGACCAGGTTTTTTTCAACAATCTGTTGGAATTCCCAATGGTACCAATTGCGTCCCTTTATTAGCAGACTTATTTTTGTATTCATGTGAAGCAGAATTTGTCAAAGATCTTATAAGTGAAAAGCAGAAAAACACTTGTTGTGGTCTTCAACTCGACATTTAAATACCCGTGATATATCGACGAAGTATTGTCACACCCCTACTAATGTTATTGTGATTTAAATTCAAGGCACATGGTTTAGATTGACCTATTCAAAGGTTATAGGGTAGAACCGGTTTTATAAATAAAATTGACCGTAAACAGAAAATTGCTATAGACGTTACGCACGGTATTGGTGACGCTTTCTATTGATTTTCCTTCTATAGAGAATATTGACATGCATTACTCTATAATAGTGTAAATAAATAGTATCTATTGGGTATTCTGCTTCAAAATAAATTAGAAAATCTTTAAAACTCGGAAATATATCATTATTTTTTATTTTATTTACATTAAGATATCAAAACCTTTGACATTTATACCTAAATACCCATGTAGACTGGTAACATTTGAGGCATACCCCCAAAATCTATATACATATATCAGCGATTTATAAAATTGTAATATTGATAGTTTTTACATCAGTCGGCGGGAAAACGCATCGTCTTTATGACATCATAGTTAAATTTGACGTAAAATTCGTTAGGTTTGAGATAATTTGCCCGTAAACGCAAGAAGATACATGGTAGACTGCGGAAAAAAACAGGGGATAAATTCAAAGTCGATTCAGGTAAGGGTGTTTATGGATATGTGTTATATATTTTTAAAATATTGGAAATTTGATTTACACAAATATATATCCAAAAAAGATGCTTACAAGAGTTCATGGAAATTTTTTTTGTTGATTTTTAAATTCTATATAAACATTTTAGCATTTATTTGAAAATCATACCATATAAAGCCTTTATGTCAGGCCATGTTTTTTTTTTTACATTTTGATTCCATATTACCCATATTGTTTGATTTTTTTAGTCCGTCGTTAACTTTTCTTTTAAAATATACAATTTAATTCTGAAAGGAGTGTATCAAGTATCTGTTAACACATTATTTTACGAATTTCAATGCATAAAAATAGCTAATGAGGATTTCTGCATTGTTTTACTTGTCCGTCACAGGAAAAATTTGATGGCATCATGGCGTCTGATAATATGAACAAGCCCTATTTAGTCCAAGTATACAAGACTTATTTATATTTGGATTCTTATTGTTGTACTTATGGTCTACAATCTCCTGCTCTGCATTTTGTTTATTGGTTCAAAAACGTGCTTTGCCTCAAAATATGTTACGAAAATCCAACTAAATCTCTGTCTACTCAAATGTCCTCGACAGTGTTTTAACGTTTTCTCTGCAATTTTAAATGATATGGTATTGAACTCATACTCTTTGAGAGCAATTATCTCAAACACTTGAGAAGTTTTCAAAAAAATCTTTTTTGTCTGAGAAAATATAACTGTATTAGACTTTCCTGATTCTTTGCTTTGCGATTACATTGATATTCAATGAATTAATGAAGAATTTTAATTGGTGTACTAATTTGTCTCATTTACGGGATTTTGACGTGATCTGCACTTATGACGTCTCGCTTCGAAAAAATGCAGATGTTAACGGTTTGGATTCATCTTAATTTAGACACGTCAACATATTAATTGTTAAACCCAGAAATTTGTATTTAAAAAATGGGGGGGGGGGTGCACGAAATAAAAGGAAGTAGAGGGAATTAATTCACATTCCGACTGCTTAGACAGATTTTACAGTCCCCATCCCATTTACATTCCCCTTTCCTTTTTTTCTTTTTTGAGTGTGTAGACTTACTATTTTATCAGCGCATACTCATTTTTATGAAAGTATATTTCTTCCTTTCTCAAGTGTAGAGCTTTTTTTTGTTAAATATTGGTGGTGGTTTTTTCCAGGGGGGGGGGGGGGGTGTCAAGAGCACTTCCTCTGGATTCGTCCTTAGAATGACGCAAATGTTATAGCATAATTATAAACAGATAACGATATGGGACAAACCTTTAAAATTTTAAAACTAAGAAAAATACATGGTTTGCGTAAGTTTTAGATTGCCAATTGCCGTCATATCGAATTCAACTACCGAAAATTAAATTTTTGCTATCTAAATAAAATACGATTTTGTACATATTAGATCAAAAGTGTATGTTTCTGCTGAATAGTAGAAAATGAAAAGGGTCATTGTATAAAGTTGTCATAGACAATGTGAAGGGAGCGAATCAAAAATTTTCATGTATTGCATTCAAAAGAGGTAATCAATTCAAAAATTCAAATATAGAACGCAGCCCAATTTTTCCTGTCGACAAAACTAAGGCCTATACTAATTCATCTCCTGTGTTTTAAGAAAAAGAGGAAAGGGTCCTATCAATGTTGAATTGCTAGCCGCAACGCTTCCGTCCTGTTTGATTCACTACCATATATACAGAGATACACAATTGGTTTTTAAAAGTTTAGGGAGGGGGATAAAAAGCTGACAAGTCAAACAATATTAGGATAGAAAAATTCGGCGAGAACAATAAATCTTGTCGAAGTAAAGTACATTATTATCACTCAAAAACACTAGTATAGGGAGGATAATCTCTCTCTCTCTCTCTCTCTCGTATTGTCTTTTGCTTTAAAATATTTCGCAGTGAATTCTACTTAGACCCTCTTACAATCCACACCAGATGTGCCTACGACTGTCTGGATTCGATAGGACGGATTATTATACATGTACATTGAAATTGAAAATGACACCCTTTCTTGATTTTTAAAGAATAAATAAATATATAGTAAAAATAACCTTTCTTTCTAAATTTGTAAATTGCATATTCCTGAACTGAAAGAGAAACCCTAGACAAAATTGATCCAAAAGTACCCCCCCCTTTCAGGAGATAATCTTAAATGATTTTGTTTTACATGTACCTAGAAAGAGGACACCCTCACCCCACCCCGGGCATTATATTGTCTATGAAACATTCATTAATAAATTCAAACTTCATTCCTTATTAGATGGCATATGTATAAATATATTGTTTGATATCTATTTTTATCATTTTTACCTATAAATGTAAAATTTCTATTATGTAATTTTTACAGGTATGTCACATTTAACGATCAAAGAAAAGAGAGAAGAAATACGCAGAGAACAAAAGAGAAAATGGAAACAAAAACAAAAATTATTGAGACCAGCAAAAGAGTTGTCTCAATCTACAGCGGCTGTAAAGAAGAGGCAGCAAAGAGAGAGACTTGCTCGGAAAAAAGAGGAAGAAAGTGAAAAAAGACAACAAGCTGCAGAAAGAAAGCGGAAAAGTAGGACAGCCCTTAAGAGTAAACAGATTCAAGAAAAATCAAAGAAGGAAGAAAGACGCAGGAAAAACACAGAGAAACAAAGACGATGGCGAGAAAAGAAAAAAATACTCACACAACACAATCTCCCGCTCACACAAGAGGAACAACAAATATTTCAAAATAAAATGAGTAAATCCCGAGCAATAAGAAGGTTAAAGGAAGCACTTCCCAGAACACCTGTAAAAAGAATTGCAACAGTAAAGGCCTACTTGTCCTCAAAGAAATCACCCACGGTCAAGGAACTACAGCGTAGAAAGGTTGTACCATCACCGGAAGAACGCAAAGAATTGGAAATGAATGAATCTGTTATACAGGATGTGAAATCGTTCTTGAATTCGGTGAAATTTAAGCGGAGCGATAAGTCGCGGGAAGCCGTGGACATTTTAGCTGCATCTGTATCAAGACCATTAGTTCAAAAATCAAGGGCCAAAGTTGACCTTGCGAGAAAACTCGGAATGCCTGTTAGAAGGATCTCAAAGGGTGTTCGAATCCGACAACGAGTTCTGCATTCAGAAGAATCATCCTTTGAGTTTACAAAAAGGAAAACAAGGTCAGATAAACTAACTGAAGAAGTACAGAAAACAGTTTATGATTTTTGGTGTCTACCCGAAAATTCGCGACACACTGGAAATAAAACTGATGTCAAGCGTGTCCGAATAGCTCCAAAAACTTACTGTAGCCACGCTATTCAAATTCTAGAAAAAACACAAAGTGAACTGTTCATGTCCTTTAATCAACATTACCCTGAAATTAAGATTTCACAGAGAACATTTGAAAAATGTAAGCCATATTTTGTCCGATCTGCAAGGAAAAAGGATAGAACAACATGCTGCTGCAGGTACCATCTAGAGAGCAAGTTTTTGTTCAATGCTTTCAAAGCACGTAGAAATCAATTGGCAAACGATGGGTTGCTGGACGAAAACACATGTAAGGTTTACAGAACAATTTCAGAATTATATTAAGACACGATGTGTCATACGGAGGGTGAAGATTTACATTTGAAGGACTGTGTAGAAAGAAGCTGTGAAAAATGCGGTGTTCATTTGCTGAAATTTTGTAACGCTGAATTAGATATGTCTGACGACTCGCCAGATGTTAATTGGAAAAAATTTGAGTATATTGACATTAAAACAAAAAATGGTACCAAGAAGAAATTGACATTGGTGGACAAAGTTATAAAGTCCGGTGAGATGATCAAGTATTTTAAGAAGGTTTTGGATTTTTTTCCAGGTCATCATGTCAGGGCCAAATGGCAAACTGATCGACTGAAAAATCTTGCCGAAAACTTGCCGGAAAACGAATGTTTAACTGTTCTTGATTTTTCGGAAAATTACAGATGTACTGAGAGGGTTGAAATACAGTCAAACTATTTTCAACGAACTGAGGATTCCATTCACATTTCCCTGATTTATAGACATGCTATTTTAGAAGTTGACGGCGTATCAAGCACCCCCGATGACCCGTGCATTATTTGTGAACATTTTTTTCTTATTTCTCCTGACGAAAAGCACGACCATCATTTTGTAAAGTGTGTTCAGAGGTTCATATCTGAATATTTGCAGTCCATCAACTACCCTCTGTCTACAATGCACGAGTTCTGCGACGGGTGTCAAAGCCAATATAAAAGCAGGAACTGTTTGGGAAATCTCGTTCATTCCGTTGACGAGCTTGGATACCAGAAAATAATACGAAATTATTTTGAAAGTAGCCATGGTAAAGGACCACAGGATGCAGCTGGAGGTTTGCTTAAGAACCAAGCTGATATGGCCGTTATCCGCGGGAAAGCTCAGATAAGATCTGCGCTAGATCTATTTAATTTTGCAGAGGCTTATCTCAGGACACCTCGATCTCATGCTTGCAAAAGAAGAATATTTCGATATGTTGACGAAATCCAGAGGTTTGAGGAGAACTTTCAGCCAATTAAAGGAATTCGAGCCGTACATCGAGCAGAAACATCTAAAGATGGGAAAATCATATTGCGTAACATGTCATGTTACTGTGACAGTTGTCTAGAAAGGGAGAAGTGTAAAAATTTACCTCAAGTTGGACTTTCCAAAGAAATAAAAATGAAATTGAATAGCGAGTCCACAGATCAGGATTCTGACATTTCGGAGGAGGAATATCCCAAAGAAGAAGCACTCTCGGATCTTATCACTGAGGGAACAGTGTTTGCTGTACTGTGCACAGGGGATGATGACAACGACTTTTACCTTTTACAAGCCACATCGAAGAGTAAAACTTTACGGAAAGCCAAATCAGACAAGTGGGGTGGATCGTTTGTTGCTGGGTCAACAGTCATCAGCGGAAAATATTTTGCTAAAAAGGAAAACTCGATCTTGGACTATAAGCTGATAAATCGCCCGGTAGCCATGGTTCCAAGTGCATCTGTATTGTACATCTGCCAAAATGTATCTATACAAAGCGAAATTCTTCACCTTACGGAGGAGGAGAATGAAAATATCCTGGAATGCGTAAATTTAAGCGTGTTAACACACTAAATTGATATCCAAGCATAATATATGGATATCCCATGGCGTATAGATATTTTTAGAATTGATTTTATATCTGCAATTTTAAAAACTTTAAAGAGAGTAAATTAATATGGTAAAGAATACTTTTTGTGTGTGCATGTATTTGACATGAACGATTTTCACGCTACGTTATAAACATTTCTACTCATTAAACTTCCAGTTTCTTTTTATTTTTTAAACCTTGAACAAAGAAATGAATATAAAAGAGCTCTAAACTGAAAAAATAAAATGGATTTTTACTGTTTGCTCTTATATATAGACATGTTGATACTTCTTTTCCAACAAGAATTCATCGAGAAAGAAATAGTATTAAGATTTTCTAAGATGATGAAGTATTAGAGAACAGTAATCACTGATCTTTACTTACATGCAAATAATGTAATTAGTTTTTTTTAAAATAATGCTTTCATTTTTTTTTTTATCAAATTGTGTCATTTACTGAAGATTTCCATTTATTCCAACATGCAGAAAAGGTGTGGTCACTTTAAAATATAAAAAACCCATGGACTATAAAACTATTTAGTATGCATTTATACCTTCATGCTTGTTTTTACAAAGTCGCTTACTGATATGAGTAATTTTACGTTCCGTTTACGTGACGTTAAACGTCATTTATAACGTTACCAAATGTGACACCAACACCGTGCGTAACGTGTATAGTCTGTATGTCCTGTAATAATATTGTTTCCAGACCTTTCTGAAAGACTTTCATGATTTTAAATAGAAAAAGGGTGGCTAAAGGTAAAGGGGGGGGGGTAAAATAACAATATATATCTTATCATACTTTACGACGAAAATTATAGCTCACAAGCGACCGATACGCTTGTAAACCAGAAGTCTCTGTCGAGACTGAAGCTCTACTGGTTTGTAAATATAGCAAAGGAAGAGAAAAGTACTTAAAAGCAGTTGGGAATTGAAACTTTTCAACAGCAATACATAGAATAATGATCCTTGATTACGTCTCTTTATGTTCTTAGTGTAGTCTACTTGCATGCCACATTATATTATAATCAGACTAAAACTGTATTTGGAGTAGCATTTTGAAAGAATTTCACAGAAATTTCTATTTTTAGTAACCACGGCAACACCGTTCATTGAAATCAAAAACGGATACACAGAATAATGTATCATAGTGTAGTCTACTTGTGTGCCAAGTTATTATTGAAATCAGACCAAAACTGTAGGAGGAGTAGCATTTTGAAAGAATTTCACAGAAATTTCTATTTTTAGTAACCACGGCAACACCGTTCAACGAAATCAAAAACCGATATACAGAATTATGTATCTTAGTGTAGTCTACTTGTGTGCCAAGTTATATTGAAATCAGACCAAAACTGTAGGAGGAGTATCATTTTGAAAGAATTTCACAGAAATTTCTATTTTTAGTAACCATGGCAACACCGTTCATTGAAATCAAAAACGGATACACAGAATAATGTATCTTAGTGTAGTCTACATGTGTGCCAAGTTATATTGAAATCAGACCAAAACTGTAGGAGGAGTAGCATTTTGAAAGAATTTCACAGAAATTTCTATTTTTAGTAACCACGGCAACACCGTTCATCGAAATCAAAAACGGATATACAGAATAATGTATCTTAGTGTAGTCTACATGTGTGCCAAGTTATATTGAAATCAGACCAAAACTGTAGGAGGAGTAGCATTTTGAAAGAATTTCACAGAAATTTCTATTTTTAGTAAACACGGCAACACTGTTCAATGAAACCAAAAACCGATACACAGAATTATGTATCTTAGTGTAGTCTACTTGTGTGCCAAGTTATATTGAAATCAGACCAAAACTGTAGGAGGAGTATCATTTTGAATGAATTTCACAGAAATTTCTATTTTTAGTAACCACGGCAACACCGTTCATCGAAATCAAAAACGGATACACAGAATTATATCTTAGTGTAGTCTACTTGTGTGCCAAGTTATACTGAAATCAGACTTAAACTGTAGGAGGAGTAGCATTTTGAAAAATTGTTTACAGACAGACAGACGGACAGACGACGGACGCATTATTATCGCATAAGCTCTTCTGGTCTCTGACCAGTAGAGCTAAAAAACCAATATACAGAATTATGTACCTTATTGTAGTCTACTTGTGTGCCAAGTTATATTGAAATCACACCAAAACTGTAGGAGGTGTAGCATTTTAAAAGAATTTCACAGAAATTTCTATTTTTAGTAACCACAGCAACACCATTCATCGAAATCAAAAACCGATATACAGAATTATGTACTTTAGTGTCACTAGTCTACTTGTGTGCCAAGTTATATTGAAATCAGACCAAAACTGTAGGAGGAGTAGCATTTTGAAAGAATTACACCGAAATTTCTTTTTTTAGAACCACGTCAACATCGTTCATTGAAATCAAAAACCGATATACAGATTTATGAAGCTTAGTGTAGTCTACTTGTGCGCCAAGTAATATCGAAATCACACCAAAACTGTAAGAGACGTAGCATTTTGAAAGAATTTTACAGAAATTTCTATTTTTAGTAACCACGGCAACACCGTTCATCGAAATCAAAAACTGATATACAGAATTATGTATCTTAGTGTAGTCTACTTGTGTGCCAAGTTATATTGAAATCAGACCAAAACTGTAGGAGGAGTAGCATTTTGAAAGAATTTTACAGAAATTTTTATTTTTAGTAACCATGGCAACACCGTTCATCGAAATCAAAAACCGATATACAGATTTATGAAGCTTAGTGTAGTCTACTTGTGTGCCAAGTAATATCGAAATCACACCAAAACTGTAGGAGGAGTAGCATTTTGAAAGAATTTTACAGAAATTTCTATTTTTAGTAACCACGGCAACACCGTTCATCGAAATCAAAAACCGATATACAGAATTATGTATCTTAGTGTAGTCTACTTGTATGCCAAGTTATATTGAAAACAGACCAAAACTGTAGGAGGAGTAGCATTTTGAAAGAATTTTACAGAAATTTCTATTTTTAGTAACCACGGCAACATCGTTCATCGAAATCAAAAACCGATACACAGAATTATGTATCTTAGTGTAGTCTACTTTTGTGCCAAGTTATATTGAAATCAGACCAAAACTGTAGGAGGAGTAGCATTTTGAAAGAATTTCACAGAAATTTCTATTTTTAGTAACCACGGCAACACCGTTCATCGGAATCAAAAACCGATACACAGAATTATGTATCTTAGTGTAGTCTACTTGTGTGCCAAGTTATATTGAAATCAGACCAAAACTGTAGGAGGAGTAGCATTTTGAAAAATTGTTTACAGACGGACAGAGAGACAGACGGACGGACGACGGACGCATTACTATCGCATAAGCTCTTCTGGTCTCTGACCAGTAGAGCTAAAAATAGGTGTAATATCATCTGCACTGACAAACCTTTGTGTACCTTATATGGCTATTGTTATAAATGCGCAAGAGGATCTT